GAGAATACAAGGAGAGAACCCGAAGGCCCAGGAGGAGGGGAAGGATTTAGCCCCAAAGAGGAAAGAACGATGTGATTAAGACAATCTCCATAATGAAGAGCAGGGGTGGGGAGTAGAGGGGGGTTTGGGGGCAGAGGGTCCTGGATGTTTGAGTTCTTTTGAGGGCGGAGGTGTTGAAGAGACAGGCGTGTGGCAGTGGCCGGGGAGGACGGGTACAGGTGTAAACCCTGCCTCCTTCGCGGTGTTCAAACAGCACAGCGGAGGATTGAGTGCCTGTATCCACGGGGCTGCATGGGCAAAGGGGCTTGTACAGGAAGATTCTCAGCAGCTTTATTCATCGTCACCAAAAATACCCACCAATGGAGAAGGGGCTTGACAAGGTGTGAGATGTGCACACAATGGAATACGACAGCTTTGAGAAACGACCAGACACACACACACACACACACACACACACACACACACAGCCACATGGGTGAGTCCAGGCACCCAAGGGCACATCCTGAACAATTCAATTTACACTGAGTTTCCAGAAGAAGCAGAAGTGGCCTATGGTGGCAGCAGTCAGCATGCCAGTCACTTTGGCAGGAGGGGGAGCGCTAGGCAACTTGCGGGGGTGGCGGAAATGTTCCCTATCTTGATCTGGGTGGAGAAGGGTGGCTTCAGGCAGGTGAAAAGCCATGGAGCAGGGCGCTTAGGATTGCTGCGTCTGGGGACGCCTGGGAGGCTCAGTGGGTTGAGCATCTGACTCGATTTCGGGCCCGGTCATGATCTCAGGGGTGTGAGATCAAGCCCCGTGTCGGGCTCCACACGGGGGCAGGGAGCCTGCTTGGGATCCTCTCTCCCTCTCTCTCTCTCTCCTTCAGCCCCCCCTCCATCTCTAATAAAAGAAAAAGATTTCTGCATTTTACTGTATGTAAATTATACCTCAATTTTTTTTAATAAAAAAAATACAAGAACATCAGAGCCACATTATGTAACAGTTGGCAATCTGCATTTTGCCTAATAAGATCCAGAGAGACAGAGTCACAAATACCAATTGAAATAAGGTACAGGATGCTGGCATCATTCCAGACCCTCCAGGAGCCTATCTGTGGAGTGGGCGTGGACAGGGGGAGCTGAACGGACCTGCCTCCCCCAAGTCTGCCTCAGATCCCACAAGCCCCTCATGGTCTAAACACCTCGGCACTGCATGATTCCAGCCTTCGAAGGTTCCATTCCTGTTTGGGGGGGCGATGTGGATAGACATTACCCAACTGGTACCCCACTGAGGGGAGAGAACTCTGTTCAAACGTCAAAGCCAAAACTGACGGTGCAGGACTGTAGCAGAGCGATAATATGGTTTCCAACCTGGTGCTTTCCTAAGATTTTTCCCCCCATTGGTAGTATTGACCATTTACAATTTTTGCCTCATGTATTGATTTTTGGAAGCCCACCCTTGGATGAGATGTAACAGCACCATTAAGAATTCAATTTAAGGGGATCCCTGGGTGGCTCAGCGGTTTGGCGCCTGCCTTTGGCCCGGGGTGCAGTCCTGGGATCCCGGGATCGAGTCCTGCATCGGGTTCCCGGCGTGGAGCCTGCTTCTCCCTCTGCCTGTGTCTCTGCCTCTCTCTCTCTCTGTGTGTGTGTGTGTTTATCATGAATAAATAAATAAATCAAAAAAAAAAAAGAATTCAATTTAAAAATTGTTTTTCCAGGGTGTGGTCCTGGAGATTTGGGATCGAGTCCCATATCAGGCTCCCTGTATGGAATGGAGCCTGCTTCTCCCTCTGCCTCTCTCTCTCTCTCTCTCTCTCTCTATCTCTCTATCTATCTCTCTCTCTCTCTGTGTCTCTCATGAAAAAATAAATTTAAAAAAATCTAAAAATTGTTTTTTTGGTTATTGCTTAGACTCCTAACTACACCTGACTCCACAGGCCTTACAGGGCGTTTCCTCTCATCCCTCCCCCCTTCCCTTCCAGCCCCTGCCCGCCTCCACCTCTCCCCTGCAGGAGTCTGAGCTCTGGAGAAAAAGGAAGACTGCCATCCAACCCCTCTGATTGAAAAGTGTCTCTGTGGTGACATTCGCCGGCTATCGCTGACCCATTTACTTTCATACTAATGATATGTTCATCACTATCGATGGCTTTTCTTTCTTTGGAAGTGTTTCTACTCTTGCAACAGCCTGATAAGTAAAATCATCCAACACTTGGAAATAAGGCAAATAGATAACCGGTGTCCTTTCAAAGTCAAATTAAAACATTGTCTAACAAGCCCTCCTAAGGGTCATCTGACACTCTAGGGGAATGTCACTTTGCTTGACTTATTATTTGCTATTGATCAGGGCCCAGGCTCTGCAAAGATCGCTGTTAGCTGGTAGAGAACTGATAAGTTACAAATTATTTTTGTCTGGTGGAGAAATCATGCAAATGATTTCTTTCCGATAGAGACGATAACCCCCGACATTATGATTTTATTGCCCTGTAAACGTTAACCAGTTTTGCATCTAACTTGGCAACCTTATGAATATTCCAGAATTCTAGTTTTTGGGTTATTATTGTCTTTGTTTTTATAAATCTCTCTCCCTCCCTCTCTTCATGTATAGGTGCATATAAATACTTTCTTCTCATTCTTTTTTTTTTTTAATTTTTATTTACTTATGATAGTCACACACAGAGAGAGAGAGAGAGAGAGGCAGAGACACAGGCAGAGGGAGAAGCAGGCTCCATGCACCGGGAGCCTGACGTGGGATTCGATCCCGGGTCTCCAGGATCGCGCCCTGGGCCAAAGGCAGGCGCTAAACTGCTGCGCCACCCAGGGATCCCCTTTCTTCTCATTCTTCATTGAGCTAGCTTTGTCATCCTGCTGGTTCCTTCATTACTAAGCTACAAAAAAACCCACAAAAAAAAAAAAAACATTCACATGCACTCACTATATATTTCTTTTTTTTTCACTATATATTTCTAAAAGAATGATGTATTAAAAATTTTGGAAACTAGGGGCACCTGGGTGCCTTGGTTGGTTGAGGTTCTGCCTTCAGCTCAGGTCATGATCCTGGGGTCCTGGGATGGAGCCCCTGCATCAGGCTCCCTGCTCTGGGGGGAGTCTGCTCCTCCTCTCCCTCTGCCTCTCCCCCCTCACGTGCAGGTGCTCTCTCTCAAATAAATAAAACCTTTAAAAGTAAAATAACACTTTGAAAACTATACTTTGAGAAGCCTTTCCCAGTATTGGGTTTTTCCTCAGGCCAACTCTGCCCCTTTCTTTGTAATCATGGGCAAGTGTTTCTGTCTCTGGTCTTGGTTTCCTCATCTGTGAAATGGGGTGGGCGCCATCAGTCTGGCCTTCCTGGCTCCGACATGTGGTATTTCTAACTCTTCTTGCAGGGAAGCAACACTGACATGCTGCAGTCAAAGAAGATGGGTGCTGGAAGGGGTGCTGGACCACCTGGTGCAAACTTCCTGCCTCCCACCACCCCCTCGCCTCAAGAGATGGAGAAGGTGAGGCTCAGTCTGGTTAGGTAACTTGGCCAAGGTCACACAGATATTGTTCATAATGACTTATTTTAATGTGGCGTTTGACAGTATCAACTTCCTCATAGAATCTCTCAGCGCCCAATGAGGAGCCTGTATCATCCCATCTTACAGATAAAGAAATTGAGGTCCAGGGGTACCTGGGTGGCTCAGCGGTTTGGTGCCTGCCTTTGGCCCAGGGTGTGATCCTGGAGTCCCAGGATCGAGTCCCACATCAGGCTCCCTGCATGGAGACTGCTCCTCCCTCTGCCTGTGTTTCTGCCTCTCTCTGTGTCTCTCATGAATAAATAAATAAAATCTTAAAAAAAAAGAAAGAAAGAAACTGAGGTCCAGAGAAATGATGTAGCTTGCCCAAGGTCACACAGTGAGTTCATGTGAGCACAGCCCCCTGAGACTCCAGTTCTCCTAACCTCCCGAATCTCCAGGAGCTAGAGAGGGGCTGTCTGTCAGATACATACTGGGTGCCACACAAGATTGCCAATGAAAAAAGAGTCCCAGAGGCCTGAAGACGCTGACCCCAGACAACCTTCGTCTGCCCATGTCCATAGCCTTCCGTTTTCTCCTCTTCCTCTTCCCTTTGGTGAAATACTCAGGGGGACTAAACATGGTCATGGGAAGAAGCAGAAAAACCTGGTCAGCCCAGGCCTGAACATACTGGTTTCCAGCCTGGGAGAGACAGAGTAGCTCAATCTAAAGTGTGCAAACGGTCCAAGCTGGCGAAGTGAGGTGGGCTGACAGGTAGTGAGCACCCTGTCAGCAAGAGTAAGTAAGGCTCGATGATCCAGCCAGAGGGTAATAGCAACTCTCTAGACGGTAGCATTCACCAGCTTTTGTTGCTGTTTTCTTTTTTTTTTTTAATTTTTTTTGTTGCTGTTTTTCAAATGTCAGATGATAAAAGCTAATTATTAAGTGCTCATCATGTGCCAAGGGGTTTGTATGTATATTATGTCACTGAAACTTTGTAATAATCCCATGAGGTAGACTCTGTTGTTCCCAATTTGTGAATGAGAAAACTGAGGCTCCAGGAGGTTAGGTAACTCCCCAAGGGCAGCTAGGAAGTGGCAGGTCTGGAAAGCTAATTACTAAGCTTCTCATCCCTACTGCACTGTCCTTTGTGTTTCTCTGAATTTTCCAAGCTTTGGACGATGAATGCAGGTTGCTTTCACAATCATGAAAAATGCTTACAAGTTACCGACTTTTAGAAAGATTCCTTCTGCCCTGATGCTCTGTGCTTCTCTGGTTCTCACGTCCCACCCCGTACCCCCATCTCCTGCCGCCTCTGTCCCCGCAGCTCCTGCCTCGCTGTCCTTGCCCCCACACCAGCTGCATGCGAGCTGCGTGCTGCTGGCCTGGCCGGCTGACCGGTGACCGGTAGGACTCCGGTGTCCCAGTCTTGCTGATGTCTGCTCAAAATGTCCCCGGTTGCCTCTGGCCCCTGGGGCAATGCCGGGGGCAGGCCCAGGGAAGGAGAAGAGGAAGTAGGAAGGGATGTGAAACTTGGCCGTGGCCAGGCAGGCACCACCCCTGCTGGGGTGTCCCACAGGGGTCCCTGGGTGGAGGACAGAAGCGGTCCATTGAATTGACGGCCAGCTGAGGCAGGTGAGGCCCGCGCCTGACGGGGAGGGGGCCAGGGGAGCTGGCCTGGGGGGCTGGACAAGGAAGGTAGGGGAGAGAGACCACCACCAGCTGGTCCTGGGCCAAGGCGGGGGGGGGGGTCGCGGGGAGGTGGTGGGGGGCGCTGATCCAGGACTCCGGATAAGTGAATGGGGACACCTTCTTCACTCCTCGGGTTTGGGAGATGGTGGGAGGTGGTGACATAGAGCCATCAGCTCTAACCAGAGCTCCTGGGCTTCGTGCCCGCCCCCCAAACCGAGAAGCTGGGGAGAGGCTGGGAGTGTCAGAACCAGCAGAGGGGTCCCATAGCAGGTCCAGTGGGAGCTGAAAGGGGCCGTGTGTGTAGGGGAGTGAGCACGTGTGTTGTGTCAGGGGGCCGTGAATTCCTCCGTGTACGCACAGCTCTGCCATCTGGGCGAGGGAGTGTTAATTAAATAAGGAGTAGGCGCTCAATAAATATTTGTTCAATGGAATTGATCATCTGTAGGAGTCTATGAATGTGTGTCTGGGTGAGTGAGAGAGGGAGTCTATTTGGGTGTCAGTTTGTGCATCGGGGAGTGCCTAGTGGATTTTGAGTTTGCTCATTGTGTAGCGTAGGTGTGGGATCAGAGGCTAAGTTTGTGTGTGTCTAAGTGTGTAGCTACACGGGTGTGCTCAGTGGGGTGTGGGTATCTATGCGGGCAAATTCCCCGTTCTTCATCTATGTGTGGGGTCGCTGGAGCTGGGTCCGAGGCCCTCGAGGGTGTGTATGTGCATCGTCGTCCGAGATGGGCGTGTGTGCGTGTGTGAGGTCTGGCCCTGACCCGTGTCTCCGCAGTGGCATCATGGAGGCCCCCTGGGGCTGGCTGGCGCTCTGCGTGCTGGCCACCTCCCTCCAATCTGCTGTGACCCAGGACGTGTGCCGAGCCCCAGACGGGAGGGATGGGGCTGCAGGGACACCCGGCCGACCCGGACGGCCAGGCCTCAAGGGGGAGCAAGGGGAGCCAGGTAAGCACCTCCCTCCGGACCCCAGCCCCTCATCCCCTGGCAGGGCCTGGGCTCAGGGTGGAGGCTTGGGGCGGCTGGTGCCAAGGAGCAAGAATCCACCTGGGCCCCCGAGGGAAGCCCCTACGCTCCGCACTCCATCCCAGGGGCTGAGGGGAACCCAGGCTCCTGGCTGGGCACCTCCCTGGACTGCCAGGCCTCTCCGTCTCCTCCTTCCTGCCTGAGTCCTCTTTCTTTGGCCTCGCCTTCCTGCTCTGGAGCACCGGCCACTGAAAGCGACCAAGGTGAAAGGTCTTGGAGTAGCGCACAGTCCTGGGCTGTTGTTCAGTCACCAGAATGAATACGGGTCCTAGCCCCTAGACCCAGGCACCTTACCTTGCTGCGTGACCTCGAGCAAATTAGCGGCCCTCTCTGAGCCTCGGTTTCATCATCCGTAAAATAAAAAAAAATATCCCACCTGGCACATAGAAAGGATCAATTCATGGCAACCGTCCTCTTTGCTTCCCTCCAGCTCCCCCACCCGCCTCTGTCCCTGCTTCCCCATTCCCAACCCCTTCCAGCTTCAGAAAGTCACATTCTAGAAAAAAAAAAGTTGGGGGTGAAAGAAGAGGAAGGAGGACGTGCTCAGAGTGGAAAAGGAAAGTGTCAGTCCCCGTGGGCCCCCTAGCCCGTGGCAGACCAGAAAGATCCACATGGATGTTTGCCATAGTTGGCATCCAGACACCTGCCATGGAGTCCTGAGCCTGAGGAAGTCAAGGGCAGTGGCCTGGCGGGGCGTGGAGTGCACGGCTATGGGCAGGGACACAACGGAGGAGCCAGCGTCCTGCTTTTGCCAGAACCTGGCAGCTCCCCAAGTACCTCTTCCCACCTGGCTCCACTTTGGAGATAAGGAAGCTGAGGCTCAGAGGTTGAAGCACTTGCCCGAGGTCCCACCGTCAACCTCGAAGGGCCAGACACCCCCCCATCCCCTCGCCCACAGCAGCCGAGGGTCCCACCATCTCCCTGGGACTGGTGGACGCTGGACTCCCCCTCCAGATCTGACCTCTCTCCCCACAGGGGCTCCTGGCATGCGGACGGGCATCCGGGGCCTTAAAGGGGACCAGGGGGATCCTGGGCCCCCTGGAAACCCTGGCAACATGGGCTTCCCTGGGCCCAGCGGCCTCATGGGGCTCCCTGGCATGCCAGGACGGAGAGGCCCCAAGGGCAACCCCGGAAACATCAAGGACCAGCCGCGACCGGCCTTCTCAGCCATAAGGCGCAACCCACCCATGGGTGGCAACGTGGTCATCTTCGACACGGTCATCACCAACCAGGAGGGCCCGTACCAGAACCACTCGGGCCGGTTCATCTGCGCCGTGCCCGGCTACTACTACTTCACTTTCCAGGTGGTGTCCAAGTGGGACATCTGCCTGTCCATCGTGTCCTCCGGGAGGGGCCAGATCCGGCGCTCCCTGGGCTTCTGCGACACCAACAGCAAGGGGATCTTCCAGGTGGTGTCCGGGGGCGTGGCTCTCCAGCTACAGCAGGGAGACCAGGTCTGGATTGAGAAAGACCCCATCAAGGGCCGCATTTACCAGGGTCCTGAGGCCGATAGCATCTTCAGTGGCTTCCTCATCTTCCCATCCCTCTGAGCCAGCGACGGACCCCGCCCGGCCTGGCCTCTCGTGCTTCCTGCTGTGTGACTCTGGCCCACTCACTCCACCTCTCTGGTTTCTATGGTCCGCTCTGGGGGTGCTGTCGCTTTAGCTGCCTGAAGGGAGGGGGCTGGCTACCGGAGCCCTAGAGCCTGCTGCCCACCGCACATGTAAGAAGATGGATTTCTTAGAATAAATACCCGAATCCACGTCTGCCGAGCCTGAGGTTCTGTGGCTACGCTGGGCACTGGGAGGGAGCTTAAGAATGACAGTTACTGAGTGCTTACGGGGCAGGCCTGTATTTTGTGTTTTGCCACATGTACTTGGCAGGTCCTGGGAACCTCATCGGCCTGGGTTCAAGCCCTAGGACCAGCACTTACCAGTTGTCCAACCGTGTGTGTATCCTGTAACTTCAGTGAACTCAGTTTCCTCTTCTGTAAAGTGGGAATAACAACAGCACTTACTTCAGAGGGTTGTGGGGAGGATCGAGTGACTTAATACATGGAAACTCAGAGCAGTGCCTGATTCGTGGTAAGGGCTGTGTAAGTTTGAGCTATTATTGTATTTCGTGTAAGCAGCACAGCTGGGGGGTGAGGTGGGTAGCGTGACCCTGCTTTACGGACAACGAAGCAGGCTGGAGCATGGGGGTGGACATAAGGAGCCCAAGGTCAGCGTTTTAGAGGAGGAGCTGGGATTCGAATCCAGATCTTACTGGTACCCGAGCCTGTGTGTTTAACTGCGACCCTCGCCAGCCTCCGCAGCCACGTGCCTGACACCTGACACCTGCTTTCCCACCCTGAACCAGAAAGACATGGGCAAGACTCAGAGAGGGGGAGCAGTTGGCCCAAGGGCAGCCAGCAGACCTCCACAAAGCTAGGTTTCCCAAGTCCAGCCCTGCGCTTCCCCCCGGGCAGGCGTGGAGGCTGGGGCCGCATCCCTCCTGGGCTGGGCATCCCTCCCCAGCTGGGACTCAGGTCTGGGGTGCTCATGGTGCATCCCCGGGGTCCCACTGAGCCTGTGCAGAGCTGCTCAGAAGCAAGAAGCCCTGCCACGCCCTCCGAATATGATGACGATAAGGAGGCCGGGAGTTCAGTCCTGAGGACGTCTAACGCCCGTGCCTTTTCCCAAAGGAAGTCATATGTGCTCTGTGCCATGCACACCCACACCTGCACACCACACCGCACACCCGTCTCCCTCGAGATGCACGTGGACCCACAGTCCCAGACTCAGACCTGCCCGCTCCCCACTGAAACACGGGCACAGTGATGCCCTCCCTGAGCACACACCCAACCCACTCCCTTAGACACACTGTGCACACCCCCGGACACGCACACTGGTTACACCTCCAAACCCACAGACGTTCTTGGGTTATACATGCAGTCATACCCATGCACGCCCTGCCTCAGATACCCAAGTGCCCCTCATAAACAGGCAGAAGCACATTCACAGACACCCACCTTGAGACATGTGTCCCACCCCTGACACGCAGGTGTACGTCTTCCTCACCCTCCAACCTGCGTGTGCCTTAGATGTGCCCCGGTTCTCTCACATGAGGACGCTCCCACGCTCCTGCTCCCACTGGGCCATCCTCCGAGCCACAGGCACTGTCTCTCTCACCCACAAACTGACATGCGAGCAGCCTGGGAGTCCTCACAAGCCCATACCTCCCCACCCAGGCCTCGCACATACACCCAAGCCCCTCTCCTGGGGCTGCCCTGCCCTGCCCCACCAACAGCCTCTGGGGGTGGGAAGAAGAGAGTGACCTCTCCTCGGACCCCTCGGCCTCCTTTGGCCTCCCCTCTGCCCCAGCTCTCTGCCTCCCCACCCAGAACACACACTCCCGTGGACCAGGAAGAGAAACAGATCTTTGAGCACACACGACGTGCTGGACATTTCCTGGCCATTGATGCATGAATCGCAGCAATCCCTCGGAGCTGAGGCCCAGAGAAAGGAGCTCCCTACCCAAAGTCACATGGTCAGAAAGTGGCAGGACCTAGATTTGAACCAGCTCTGGCTGAACCCAAAGTGGAGAAGAGCTCCTTTCATTGCAATGGGACTCAGAGGTGTCAGGAGCGCAGGTCCCATAAGTGGTGGGAGAGACCAGGCTGGAGAAACGTGAGTGCAGGGCTGTTCCTTATCCTAAATTCCACCCATGGGCACCCACAGCACCCCCCTCCCTGTGGCAAGTCACTGGCCGGGCTCAGAGGAGAAGGGGACTGGGCAGGCCGGCCGCCTGGGCCTGGCTGCTGGGGCAGGGTGGGCTGAGCATGGGCCGAGGCTGCCACCTGCTGGACAAGACAGACCCAGGCGCAAAGAAGGGGAGAACGGAAGATGGGGACCCCAGGTGCCACCTCGCTGGGGCCCCCCACCGATGCTGTGCCTACTGGTTCTGCTTCTCCCAGCCCTCCACTTGTTGGGGACTCCCCTGGCCAAGTACATTCACGTCCTTGCTCTCATCCCACATTCTACAGCTCTGAGCTGTGGGGTGGAGGGACAGATGGGGAAATTGAGGTCCCAAGAGTCACTTCCTGGGGCAAGAACAGAGCTGTGAACTCCTGCTCGTGCCTGGCACCCAGCCAAGCACTGAGCCTGCACCACACACTGGGTCCTTGCCACTGCCCTGCATGGGAGCTCTTAGAATCCCACACTTACAGAGGAGGAACTGATGCTCAGAAAGGTCGGAGGCCTCTCCCTGAGTGACACAGGTGGCAGGTGTGGGGTCAGGGCTGGAACCCTCAATATCAGAGGAGAGGAAGAGAGGAGAGCTGTCTCTCTCAGCTCTGCCAGCCTGGTCCCAACCGGCAACCCGGCACCAGCCGCCACAGGCTCCAAGGCCAGATGCAGGGGCGCCGGAGATGGGGGCGAGGGAGGCAGTGCCGGCAGGGAGGCTGGGATCATCCAGCAAAGGAAGAGGCACCGGCATGCAACCCCTGGGCCTCCCTCACCGCCCAGTATGCAGATGGGAAGATTGAGGCCCAGAGGAGCCACGGGTTTGCTAAGGGCCTCTGAGCAAGCAAGAGCCAGGGCTGGAAGGAGATCCGAGACCACTGACTCCATGGCCAGAGTCTGTCCACCACAGCAGGCTGCCTGCCGTCCAGGCTTGCCCATCCTGGGTGTCCACCCCCAAGTGTAACAAATGGGAGACGCAAATGGAAGATTCTAGAATAAGGCCTGCCACTTGACATGTGCACGTGGGGCTTGTTTCTGGGGACTACTAAACAAGGGAGGTCAGATCTACATGTTGGCAAGTTGAACACCAATAAAAAATAAATAAATATAATAAAAAATAAACATCAGTTCTCTGAGGAAAAAAAAACAAAAACAAGGGAGGTCAGAGCAAGGCTTTGGACCCCAAGAAACCATTTTCTATGTGACTTTTGGTAAGGACTTTCCCTTCCTGAGCTTGTTTCCTCATCTGTAAAGGGGGGCTTGTAACTTCCTCCTGGGGACATTGTAAAACAGCTGAGTCTCAGGCATAGTAAAGGCCAGCGATGAGGACGGGCTGACCTGGACACACACGCTCCCTTCAGCGGATCCGGGGCAGTGGACATTTCCTCATTTCAGACACTCATGACGCCGGGCTGGGGAACACAGGGGCATCGCTGCGGTCAGCCTGGCTCAGTACCCAAAAAGAAAGTATTGAGTCAGGAAAAATTATGGGAAAGGGGATGTGGGATTGGGGGCAGGGGGAGCCGAGGGGAGGAGGCCGCCCAGCCTGCTCCGGGCCCTCCTTGCTGGGTCTACTCTGACACGGTGTCCTCCTGCCCGAGAGAGGGGAAGCAGATTCCAGGACACCTCTGTGACCAGACCAGAATCCTGCCACCCCAGGTGAGGCCAGCCCCCCCCCCCCGGTGAGGGCAAATGGCACTGCCCCCAAGTACGCCCATGGGGGTGAGTTGGTTTGCAAGAGGAAGCGGGGTCTGCATCGCTGCTGAGCTGAGGGAGGGCCTGGGCTCAAGAGGCCCCATCCTCCATCCGTCCTGCTAGCAGGCCCCAAGGGCCAAGGTGCCCAGGGAGGGGAGGTGGGCTCCTGAGGGCTGGGAGCAAGGATGGGGAGGGTGGGTGAGCGGCTGGGTGGGCCAAATCAGCTCTCTCCCTGCCCAGATCCTTCCCCAGGATGGACACGGGGCCCAGCTCCTGGCCCCACCTTGGCCTGAACCTGCTGCTGCTCCTGCTGGCGCTGCCACTGGGGGGCCAGGCCAGCACAGGCTGCTACGGGATCCCCGGGATGCCGGGCCTGCCAGGGGCCCCGGGGAAGGATGGGCACGATGGGCTGCCGGGGCCCAAGGGTGAGCCAGGTGAGTCTGCCGGCCTGCTGGGGGTGGGGGTCACCGAAGGCCTGCCTGGGGGCAGCGGGCAAAGGGTCTGTCTACCCGGGGCTAACCTGCGGGGAGGGGGACAGTTACTTGTGGCCAAGACACACTCCCTCATGTCGCACCTGCTCCCAGAGCAGAGTCCAGCTTTCCTGGCAGGTAGAGCCCATCTCTGCTCCGAGCCCAGGACTCGGTCCTCCCTGTTCCCCAATTTTGTGCCTCAGTTTCTCATCTGACCAAAGGGAGAAAACAAGAACGCCTGTCCCAGGAGGTGGCAGGGAGGATCGCAGGAGATGACCCTGCAGACCTTTGACAAACTCTAAAGCGCTGTGCTCTCCTGTTACAGCCCCTGCACCACTCGCTGTGCAACATGGACCCCTGGGGGGGGAGGGGCCCCCCGCAGTGAATGTCCACATTGCACAGATGGCCGGGGTTCGAATCCCAGCCCTACCACTTCCCTGTGTGGAGCGCCTCAGTCTCCTCATCTGTAGAATGGGAGATGGTACTCCCTGCCGCCCAGGGGTGCGGGGATGGCTAACCAAGCTGAAATGTAAGACAGCACCAGGCGCGTGGTAGGTCTCGGGTGGGTGGGGCTATGCGTATATTATAGTTGTTATCATCATTTTTTAAAAAATCCGATCTGTGCCCACCTCCCTCCCTAGGATCCTGGGTAGCTGGGGGCATGGGGCGTGAGGAGTCAGGATTGTAGATTGATAGGCAAGCCCTAGCATGAGCAAAGGGGGCCGAGGACATGAGGGGGCACGGGAGCTGGGCAAGCGCTGGAGTCTGGGGCGCCTTTTCCATCAGAAGGTGCATATCTGGGATGCAGGTGCATGTCTGGAGCCAGCGGGGGTGGGGGGGTGAGACGGGTGAGGCTGGGCAGAGGTGACGGGGGGGGGGGCGACAGGGGCGGGGGTGGGGTGCAGGGGGGGCAGGCCAGTGGCGAGGAATGTCCTTAGGAATTTCCCCACTGTCCTCTTCCCTCCTGGCAGTAAAATGGAATGTTGTCAACATTCCAGAAGGAATTCTCTAATTCAGAGCGAGCCAAATGAGGCCCCTTCAAGAATTCAGACTACAAAGCTGCCTCTGGCCATCTCCCGGCCCAGGGTGGCTGATGGCTCCTACTATATGCCAGGCATGGTTCCAAACGCTCAGCATGTGTTTACCTTATGGAGTAGATAAAATTGTTAACTCTGTTTTACAAGTGAGAAAACTGAGGCCAAAATCCTCTCAAAAAATGCTTTACTGCCATTTTATAAATGTCACGGCGGAGGTTAAGAGAGATTGAGCAACTTGCCCAAAGTCCAGTGGGCTCCTGTCCATCTCCAAAGGCCATGCCTTTGGCCACTACCTTCCAATGCCTCTGAGGCCCCTCCCCATGGCAGGTCCTCCCCGTCCCAGTAGTTGCTGGAAGATGACCCAAAGGATGAGACATGACCCTGCACCACTGACAGCATCACCAGGAGCTGACCGTACGGAGCACTTCCTGCGAGGTGCTCCGCACATGCACTCCCCACTCCAAGCTCCCAGGAACTCTCTGGGATCTGTTCTATTACATCCTTTCCTCAATCAGGCAAGCAGAGGTTCAGAGAGGGGAGGGGAGGTCACCTGCCCGGAGTCACAAAGCTCTGGCCTAGGTCTGTTGGATCCTGATCCTCTGTCCTAACTCCAGGACTTAAAAGGGCTCACAAAGCCAGAGAGGATCTGTCACAAAGAGGTCTGCACAGACACCCAGCCCTAAGGAAGTCAGAGGAGGAAGGGGCCCTGGGGGCTCGCAGAGTCACCCAGAGAGGACCTCCGGGAAGAGGAGACTAGAGCCAGGCCCTAAAAGATGAGTACAGTTTGGATGAGGGGAGGAAAACCTCACAGAGTCTCACATAATCGGGGCTGTCACAAGAATCCCACGCTCTGACTGGGACTCAGCCAGACTTGACTTTCAATCCTGACTCCATTTCCTACTGGCTGCTTGGCCTTGAGTGAGTCTCTGGCCTCAGTTTCCTCATCTGTACCATGAGAGAAGTTGAACCAGCCCAGATGTCATAAGGGGCTCCAGTGGGCTGAATGGGGCCAGGGGCGCTGGAGAGAGCAACCCCCTTACTGGGGCATTTCTGTTTGGCTCCATCCAGTGGCTCCCGTGGCTAAGCTGGTCTGGGCTGGTTCCATCTCAGGGACAGACACGAGTTTTGTGGGGCTCTGAAGCTCATGAAGTGTTGAGGGCCCTCTTTAAAAACATAATACAAAATTATAGGTACATATGTGATTGCAGGGAAGAGGGTAAGCGCTGGAGTCCAGGGCGCCTTTGTGGTTACACAAATCCACACGTGCTACGGAATTGTGTTTGAACGATACGCATCCACAAATGGGTGGCGCGTAAGAGAGGAGTTCTGTGGATTATCCAAAGGTCAATTTTCCAGTTTGGATATCGCACTGTAGTTATGTGAGATGCACCACCCGGGGAGACTAGGTAAAGGGTCCATGGGGTCTTCTTGTCCCCCCCCCTTTTTTTTTGCAACTTCCTGTGAATCTATAATTATTTCAGCATAAGAAGTTGAAAAAATTATAAGTATAAAATTAGGCAAAGGTTCTTGAAGGGGCCAATGCAAGTTAATGGGGCCTAAGGTAAAAGTTTCGGCAGCTCTCCTGGAAACGGGCCTCTGACAGTCTTCTGATTCTTGTCGACAAGCACTAAAGAAGCAGACCTTTCAGGTGAGGTTTGAATTGGTTAATGTTGGGCTCGACATAAAAGTTTGAAACCTGCTGTGCAGACCAAATGGAAGCTCTCTGAGGCCATGTGCTGTCCATGGGCTGATAGTCTTGGCCTCTGACAAGCCCTCTGAGACACCTCCTGATGCTGGCTAGGCCTCCCCTCTCCATCATAAATGTGAGACTGAGGCCAACAGACCTCAGTCACGGTCAGAGGGCAAGTCCACGGGGTTGGCAGGACTCCAACCCCTCTAACTCCCTGCACACTGCCCCTGGGGGTGTTGGTCCATCTGGGGAAGGAAGTTCCAGAGGCTAAACTCTGTTGTGATGTCCCCTGGAGGACACCCCCAGGGTCCCTGTCCCCTGCCCCATCATTTCCTTCCCACCTGCTCTCTCCCCAGGAATCCCAGCTATCCCTGGAACACGAGGACCCAAGGGTCAGAAGGGAGAACCCGGCACACCTGGCTATCCTGGGAAAAACGGCCCCATGGGAACCCCTGGGATCCCAGGGGTTCCCGGCCCTGTGGGACCCCCTGGGGAGCCGGGCGAGGAGGGCAGATACAAGCAGAAGCACCAGTCTGTGTTCACCGTCACACGGCAGACAGCCGAGTACCCCCTGGCCAACAACCTGGTCAAGTTCAACACAGTCATCACCAACCCGCAGGGGGATTATGACACCAGCACTGGCAAGTTCACCTGCAAAGTCCCGGGTCTCTACTACTTTGTGTACCACACGTCGCTGACATCCAACCTGTGCGTGCATCTGTACCGAAGTGGTACCAGGGTGACCACCTTCTGTGACCACCTGTCCAACAGCAAGCAGGTCAGCTCGGGCGGTGTGCTGCTGCGGCTGCAGATGGGTGAACAGGTGTGGCTGGCGGTCAATGACTACAACGGCATGGTGGGCACCGAAGGCTCCGACAGCGTCTTCTCTGGCTTCCTGCTCTTTCCTGACTAGGGCAGTCAGGCCCACTCTCCGGCCCCGGGGCCGCCCTGCCCCTCCTCAGCTTCCCTGCAAGACCCGCTGTGCTCAGGCCGTTCTCTCCACCTGATCCACTCTCCTCCAGGGAGCCCGCCCTGACACCCTGCACCAAGTTCTCTCCCTCCTCTGAGCTCCTTCAGGAGTCACTGCTTTGAGACCTTCACCAACACCAATACTGTCAATGGTTTGGTTTTTTTTTTCCCCCCAAGTCTTGGGAAAGGCAAGGAGATATAGAAATAAATAAATAAATAAATAAACTGATAAATATGCAAGGCTCAGGCTTCTCATTGCCAAGTTCTCAAAAAAACGGGCCCCTTCATCCTCAGTTGTGCACCTGCCACAGCCATCTGCAGGCTCTAGATTTAGACAGAGCATCTAGGTGGTGCTCAGTAAAGTCTGGTGCCAATGGTGAGATGCTCGGTGTCCTGTGGCCACTTGGGAGAGTATGATTAAAAGCTGCAACGGGTCCCCATTAGGCCACCCGCTGTCATTTGTTTGGGTGAGAGGTGCTGCCATCATTAAAGTCATCCAGGCTCACGGGTAAACGGGAGTGTTTGAATTCCCAGATCCATGTTGACCTATGTTGAATTTTGGAAGCACCTGTCACAGGAGGGGTTTGGGCTCAGGTAAGCACCATGAAGACCAAGAACAGACGTGCAATGAATTTGTGCCGAATATTAATGAGTTAGTTTAGGTGAACGAATGAATAAACGGGTAGTGGGTCAATGAGTGATGAAGAGCAGAGTAAGCCAATGAATGAGATGGGCATGAGCCAGTGAGAGAGTAAGAATCTGTCCCCCAGGTGCCTGATGCCCCCCAAATAACTGACAAACTCTGGGAGCCCCCAGGAGCTCAACGAAAACCACTGCTGCCCACAAACCATCAGGCTTCCACTGCCAGGTTCCTGACTCGTGGGCCCAGCTGCTACGATCCTTGTGGGAGCACCGGGAGGCCCGACACTGGCCACAGCACTTTCACGGGGGTGACCACGAGAAGGGTTGACAGTTCAAGTTCAAAAAGGATAAAAAAGTATAACTTCCCTGTGCAGACCACCAGCCTGGCCTCGGAGCCCACTGACACCCAAGGAGAACCTGCCCCGGCCTGGCTGGGATCTCAGGTTGCTTCCACAAGCCTCCCAGAGCTCACAGAGGCACCGACCCACTGAGGCGGGCTGCCAGAGCAGAGGCCGCAGCCCAATTCCACGACCACCTCCACCTTGGCTCCTTTGTTCGTGAAAGGGGCCATTCCACACCCTCCTGCCTTTGCCATGTGGTTTCTTCGTCCTGCAGAGCGCCCCCCCCTCCACACACACACACACACACACACACACACTAATCCTCCCTCCACCTGGATAGCACACACTCATCTATCAGGGTTCAACACAAAGATCACCTCCCCCATGAAGCCTTCCTCGATTTTCCCATTTGTGTTTCCATGTTTCCACAGCGCCCTCCAGAGCCTTGGATCACAAACCAGTGTCTCTTGAGAGCCTAGGTTGCCAAATCTGGCCGTAAAACAAAATCATCTGCAGATTTATGTACAAAGCAAGCAAACAAAAAACAGCTTTCTGGAACCAAAGTTGTTTTCACAGAAGTTTGGGGAGGACAGGGCTGTGGGTGGGCGGGCGGTTTGCCTGGTGAAGTCAAAGTACGTGGTCCTCCAGTTGTCCTGCCCTAACTGGCTGACACGTCTGCCCCACTGGGTGAGCATCCCTGAGGCCGGGGCCACTTTGATACATACCTGGCACATAGTAGGGATGTGGGAGGTGGGCCGGGGAGGGAGGAAGGAGGGCTAGACACACACACACACACACACACACACACACACACACACAGTGGGAGCAGAGGCAAGGGCCTGGGAACCCAGCCTGGTGCCCGGGGCGCCTCTGGCAGGGCCAGGGCCAGGTCACGGGGCCACTCCCTTCACGGCTGTCCCCCACCAGCCACTTAGCAGTCCGCCCAGCAGTGCCTCAAGTGATACATCTTTCTTCTCATTTCTCTTTTGTTTAAAAAATCAATACACCGTTTATGTAGGCCACAGTGTCAGATCAGAAACCTATACTTTGGAAACGACAATTTTTGTGCCATTTTTATTTTCCATAATTGTTTCCTTGTTGTCCTCTCTTTGTCGGGAGAGACGGGCCTTTGAAAATGCCAGCTTGTCTGCTGGGCTGAGGGGATCCCGGTGAGGGCTTCTAAGGGGGGGGCGGACAGGTGAGGAGGAGTGGGGGTGGGACAGGAACAAGAATAAGACACCTCAAGGGGTGGTTTGAGTCTGCCTGAGATTCTCCCTCCCTCTGCCACTCCCCACCTCGAATAAAATAAGTGAATAAAATCTTAAAAAAAAAAAAAAAAGAAGAAGAAGAATAAGGCATCCCAAGCCTCAAGGAGCCCCTTTTGGACCACAAAATCTTTGTGTTCTTTCTCCTTCTCTTGGTAGGGATCATCCCCTCTGTATCAGGGAGGCAAGGCATGGAGACCAGCTGGCTCCTATTCAGGGGCCAAGGCCCAGAGACTCCCTCTGCTCCTGGTCCCTGATCCAGGCATGGCTCCCGTGCATCCGGGCTCCAAGAACTCAGTCTTCACCTCGTTTATGTAACACTGTCCCCAGGTTTGCATGGGAGTCTGCAGAGTCTGGGCCCTGGACGTACCAGGTTACCACCTCGCTGGCTCCCCTCCCAACCCATGACCTCCATTCATATATGGGGAAACAGGCCAGTAAATGTGCCCAAGGCCACATAGCCAGACAAAGGCAAGGCTGGGGTTCAAACTTGGGAGAGGCTGATTCCCAAGCCCATGTCCATCCTCCCCTCCCGGCTGCTTCCTGCTCTTGGTCTCAAGCTGTCTCCTTGAACCTCAAATTCAAGCTCACCTTTTCTCATTGCCATCAGCCACCAAAGAATTAGACGGCCAGGCCCAGGTGGCCTCTGGGAACCCTCAGAAGAACACTGGACCTGCAACATATGAATTTACAATTTTTAAAAACATTTTATTTATGTATTTATTTATGTATTTATTTATTCATGTATTTATGAGAGACACAGGGAGAAAGTCAGAGATGTAGGCAGAGGGAGAAGCAGGCTCCATGTAGGGAGCCCGATGCAGGACTCGATCCCTGGACCCCGGGATCACGACCTGAGCCGAAGGCAGACGCTCAACCACTGAGCCACCGAGGTGCTCCCAAATTTACAATTTTATAGGTACAGAGACTAAGTGGCACAGAGCTCCATCCTTCTCCTGGCTCAGAATCCATTGCCTTCCCCTCTACATCCAGGCTGAGGGACTGTAAAATTGACAGAGCCCAGAGACCCTTGGGTTTTACCAAACTGGTCTCTTCTTTCCCTAATACCTGCTGCAGGTAACCCTTTTTTCCATCAATCAGCATCCACAAGCCCAAAGATTTTCTATCTCCAAGCACAGATGTCAAGCAGGGCCCTCCTGGCAGCTCCTGGCACTGGCTGGGCCGGCATCCCTGCGAGGGCCATCACATCACCTTGGATGCAGCCTCAGCAGGTAGCCTGATAGCCTGGTGCCAGGGACGCCTGGCCCTCAGTCCCGCAGTGCCACTTGTATGAGGTGTGGGCTCCCGCAGTCCCCTCTTTTTTCTTCTTTTTTAAGATTTATTTATTCATTTTAGAGAGAGAGAACATGGAGGGGCAGAGGGAGAGAGAGGAGGGGAGAAGCAGACTCCCCGCTGAGCACGGAGCCCGAGGTGGGGCTCGACTCCACTCTCTGTGAGATCACAACCTGAGCCGAAACCAAGAGTCTGATGCTCAACTGACTGAGCCACCCGGGGGTCCCTAATCCCCTCTCTTTTCTGACATTTATCATAGAAGCCATGAAACCAGTATATCATTCAGTGTTTAACACCAGTCTCCCCCAGTAGAAGGAGCTCTCCATGGGGACAGGAGCCGTGATTTGCTTGTGGCTCTGTCTCCAGCACCTAGCATAGCGAGGAGCATGATAAATATTTGCTCAGTGATGACTTTCTCCCTCTGTGCCTCAGTTTCCCATATGTAAGGTGAGGGGAATAAGCAGGGTGACCTCCAAGGCCCTCTCCAGCCCTGACTTGGTGTGATTCCAGGATCAACAAGCAATAAGCCCCTGCCTATGCCCATTATTGTCATCGGCTTTGAGCCCTGCTGCAAGCAGAGGAAGGGCTATAAATAAATAATGACCACATTTAAAATTCATTATTAGATAATTTTTTGAGAACAAGGCCAGAGCAGAAGTATAGAATGGGAAGAAGGCAGAAAAGATGAGCCCAGAAAAGGGAAGCCTTGGACATGGCGTGATAGTAACGAGTAACGTGTGCAGTATACTTTATGGTTTACCTTCCACTTTCTCCTCCACGATCCCAAATGAGCCCCCCAGTGCTCTGTGCCATCTATAGAGCAAGGGTGATTACAGTCCCATCATCTAGCAGAGGAAATTGGGGCTCCCTTGGGCCCTCTTGGCTGAGAAAATTTAGATCCCCCTTCGAGACCTCAGGAATCAACCTCTGACGAGCGGCAGGGCCAGAACATGAATCACAATTTCTGACTCCAAATCCAGTGCTCAGGCAACAGGCCAGCCATGTTCTCATCTCAGTGAGGAACACCCATGTCTGCTGTAAGGGGGTCACAGGGCCAGGGGCCTTGGCATGCAAGCCACCAGCTGTGGGCAGGCTCCCAGGACAGCCTGTTCCCCCAGCGGCTGCTGAGCTGGCGAAACCAAACTGGCCACCTACCCTCCTCACTTACAGTAAACCCCTCCAGATTGCAAAAATGGGACCTGAAACTGCCTGGATGGGCTAAGAGCGGAGGGGGTGGCCATCCCGCTGGGCCCAGGGGAGGGGGCCGTCAGAGGAAGGCCCTTCCTGTCTCTGGGGAATGGAACTTCCGCTTTGAGCTGAGAGCAGCAGGCTCCTGGCTCCTGGTCCCACTGCTGCCCAGCCCAGCGGCATCACCGGACGCCAGGTTCCCAGGTGAGGATGGGGCTCGGCCCCCGGGGGGACGGGCCTGCAGGACCAATATGGCCAAGGGTGATGATTTCCGAAGGGTAGCCCTTGTGTCCCCTGCCTCAGAGCCAGCTGGGGCAATTCACAGTGCGGATCCCCAGGGCCCACTCCTAGACCTGGGGAACCAAACCCCCTGGGGGTATGCTTGGGGAGTCCACTGCTCTCCAGGACCCCAGGTGATGGGAGGCAGCCTAAGATGGGAGCCACCAACATAAGGGCTTTGGAGTCACCAAGACTCAAGCTGAGTGCTGCCTGAGTCTCTTAGATGC